CATTTTTGGGGACCTGCAGATTAGCCCTCAACTAGGTCTTACTAAATCTCCAGCGGGACTCGAACCATGCAGTACAATATATATTCTCGATAAGTTAACCAATACGCGACATTTGTATGGGTCCCGTTGATTCAAAGGTTCGAAGTGAATATCAGAAGAGTAAAGGCAATTTACCACATCACATTATGTAGTGGGATTTTGAATGAAGCAAACTTATATTTGCTGAAGCGATGGAAACATTCAGCTTGAGGTTTTTAAGAAACAAATTCCTGCTCTCTTCGGAATATTTGGTAAGATCATTATGCTTTCGTATGTTTATGCATGCACTAACCACTCAAACGTACCCGCGCTGATCTACAGATTGTAGGAAAATAAACAGATCTCTTAAAACCAACATTCAAAGAAAGTCGCTTTCGAGACCATCAGTAAATCTTGAGTAAGAGATCTGGCAAGCTTAATTTGTAGGAAGGGAATGAATGACTGATAATTGAATTTTGCCACAACCATACAAACAGGCCCCGTAATGTTATTGCATTTCACTTATTCGTGCTTTCTAAAAGTTATTATCAGTCCTTGAAATTCAGTGGAAATTCATAAACGTATATGAGTGTGGAAAAAATCAGCTCTCACTCCTTCACCACATGCGGTCTGGGGTGGCTAGAAGTGTAATCAAGAAGGAGCTATGAGTAAGGTTGATTCTAAGTAAGTAGCCTTGGAGGTTGACAGTAATTCTTGAATAGCAAATTAGTCATCCCAGGTGGGATAATGTGATTTAGAGTAGAGTTCTCACACAATGAATTGAGTAGATCTCCGAATGCCAGTGAATTTTTCGTATACTTTCGTCCAAACATGCCATTATATACTGGCTGGATTGAGGGCTGGGCCTCTCGTTGGCCTCTATCAACACGACGCGATATCGAATCCCATTTTGGTTGTCGATTCTACGGCGAGGTGAGATCTACACTGAAGTACAGTTTAGATCTAGGTTAAATGTAATTGCATCCTTAGGTCTATTTATTTAATTGTGATATATGTATATATTGACCTTCATGTCACTTGAAAAACATCGTTAAAGCCGACTCTTATTCTTGCAAAAGCTTGGAGTCAGGAATAGGCAAGAAAACTAGCCGACTTTACCCTACATGTTATATCTACTAACACTAATGGCCAAAATATACAGATAGAGATAGATAGATGTCACATAACTTGGTAAATTATG